TACAGTGGTATCCGAATTCGCTTTGCAGTCATGCATTTTATGGTGTGAAAGTTCCGGTTGCCAGATGCTAGTTTCTATCAGAGTGTTTACATCAGAGCATGAGCAACATAGTATTGTCCGTGAGAGGGAGGGGAGAAAGGGAAAAAAAAAACAGAACATATACGCCACACTAAAACCCGACGTTGAATAAATTGAAGGTAAAAGTTAAAATACAAAAACATACGAACGGAGAACTTGGCTGCCGTCACTACGTTCCTTGATAGGCGCCGCTCGCGTTCCACTCACGTGGAGCCCATTAAGTGTCGGGCCGGCGGCTACCGGAGATATTTGCGGGGCCTAGAATGGTAGACTCTTCCTTTTCAGGATAAGGTTTGACGCGAAATTACGGCAGGCTCTCGTGTTTTCTCAAATCCAGTACGCCTTGCCGACATATTTCCGGTTTCTCTTTCAAAGAGAAGGTCGTGTTTCTTGGCACTGACTGCCACAGAGGACCCACCAATCCTCTTTCTGGCTCGATTTCTTTTTTTTTCTCGCTCACTGGACTACAACTCAAAGTATACAAAAGACTGGAAATCCGATATGTTCTTTTCTCTCTAGCAAGCCATCTAATGGCACAATCATATGTATTGATCTTCTGATCTTCCAGTGAGAAGTTCATTTTTTTTTCGTTCCTTATCCACCGTGGGCACTGACGCTACCCTTGTGGTGTGTAATCGCGTGGCTTTGAGCCTCATTACAGGCTTTCACTTTCACCCTGTGCGTAATCCATTTCAGCCTTTCCAATCTCCATCCCATCGTCGATGGTCGCGAGCTCGACAGGCGACCTTTACTCTCCCTTTCAGCCAGGCATGGCCAACGAAGACGGTCCCCAGTCGAGCTCTGATGGGTCAGGCCTCCATTCTCCAGTTTTCGGAGCTCACTATCCCCCTGCGAACGGTGACAATTGTAAGTTGTTGCCATCGTACTCTTTCCTTCCCTCGTAAATCCTGTTCTCATCTGCTTCCGTAAATAAAGTCCGGTATCAGCAGGATCAACTTCATATTCAGCAAGGAGTTCACGCCGCCCAATTTGAATACTTGCCGACGCTAGTGCAACAACCTCCGTTAATTGACACTGCACTAGAAATGCCGAGCCCCACATCTGAAGACCTTGCATTTCATGGCGGGTTCTCCTCCTCGCCGCGCACACACCTTCGAGGCGATTACCACGTTCCGCCTGCACGACTTCCGCCCCCCCTTAGTGGTTCTGTTGCCGACTATAGATATCAAGGCTCTTCTGAACGACGGTTGCCTAGTGGGACCCATGACTCCACATATCATCGTGTTAGCGGAGGCATTCCATCCGTCTCCATCGATGACGATCACCGACGCCCTCCGATTTCGCCAACAGAACGTGTAGAAGTTTCTCCAACAACGAACCCTACTAATTCTGTCCGGGAGCCTCGGAGGGAGATCTCTACCGTTGTCATAGCTTGTCGCCAGTGGTATGTGTTCGTCCTTCCCTTGCATCTCCCAACTTTCATTTAGCCATTTTGCGCAATGTTGACCCTCTGTATCTGTTTTTCCCTTTAGCCGGGGCCGCAAAATACGATGCGACTCTACAAGACCCGTTTGCAACAACTGCGTCCGGCGGTCAAATGTCTGCGAGTATGACGCAGTCCCGAAACGTAGAGGACCTGATAAGCGTCCAGGGACTCGTCAAAGATCTTGTAAAAAGAGACCAGCAGACGGCTCAGTTCCTCCACCTCCGAAACGAAAACGTACTACAGCCCCGAACCGACCAGACGTTATCTCTCCAATTGAAGAAGTTATGGGTGGTGGTCCTCTAAAACAATCACCGACAGTGAGGTCTGCTGAACGTCAGCAGGGCCAGCAACTGGGTATCTCGACGCAGACGCCTTCCCCGATAGACATCCGTGGCCCAGGGGATCAGTCAATTTTGACAAAGGTGGATATCATTATTCTTATTACGCCTAATGGACGGTTGACTTGATATATTCAGTCTGAGCAATCACCTAATTCTCGTCGGTATTACCCGCATGATCCTGCCTCGTATTCCAAACCTTCGTTTCCCAGACCACTCGATTTGAATGTTCTGCATTCACCAACTCGAGAGCATCAGAAATTTCCTTCTCCAACTTCGCCTGCCACTCAGTCGGACCAAAGGATATGGTGGGATAATTTTCTAAAGACTTACCCGTAAGCCTCGACTCTCTAGCCTTAGCCGCCTTAGTCAGAGTTTGCATTCCAGACTACCAGAGGTCGCCGACGACCTGACATATCTGTAAGCACAGCCACGTTCCTGATGATTTCAGGCTTGACACGGGGTATAGGTTCACTGATGCGGGCTATTGGCTGTCCTTCCTCAACGTGAAGTTTTTCAGGGACAACTTGCTCAATGCGCAAGAACGTATACGGATTCAACCCGCCTTTATCCTAGCTTCCCTAGCCATGTCTACTCTGATGAAATCATCCGAGACGGAGTACGCAGTTCAAGGCCGAACTCGTGCTCTCTACCTCCGAAATATGGCGCAGAGCGCTCTGGAGGCCGCATGGGAATCGGAATGGATTGATGCAGCCTTGGCTGAAGCTGCGCTTGTAGGTCTTTTTCATTACCCGTGTCCTTTCGCCGCTCAAAATACATTTTTTAGATCCTCGCACTCTTCGAGACCTCTGTTCATCCCGAATACAGCCCGACGCGCGTCGAAAACGCACTTATCTTTTTGGATAACATCGTTCGCCGTCTTTCGCTGACGTCCATCGATACCAGTGACCCGGAAGTATCTTTTTTCCCACAACGCGGCGTCCCTGTCGTCCTTATACCCGGTCTCGATGCCTTCCCACACTCTCCGCACGAGCGTAAGTGCTCATGCATACCTACCGATGCCTCCCATCCCCCAGATCCTTTCAACACATGGTCATACCCGTTACCCTGGGATTCTTCTTGGTCAACTAACGAAATTCGTGACGAAGAGTGCCGTAGGGTTTGCTGGAGCGCCCTCGGTCTCGTTGCGAACTATACTCTGCAATGTGCTGCTTTTGATCGTGATCCACCTAAACTGTTTTTGAGCAGCCCTTCCAACGTATGTGTTCTCCCGCGACCCTATAAGGAGACATCCCTGATATTACTTCTCCATCCAGTATGCACTATTATTCCCGGGCGAAGCTGTCGATCGCACATCTCCCCCTTATCGATCAGCGGATTCGCAATCGCAGAAAGAGAGCGTTTGGGCGCTGTATTGCCGAAGTATGCTTCTGTGGTGCTTCTGTGATCAACTACGTCGTGAGCCATACGTGGAGGAAGATAAGGCTGAGTATGCCCACGAGGCTTGGAACGAGACTCAGTCTATACAGGATTCGTTGGATTTGCATGTCTGCAATCTCGACACCGCTGTCATGTACATGTGTCGGGAGTATATCTACAAGTGGATACCATCCTTTCTTTTCCAGAATATGATCACTGACGCATCTCCTTTAGTTCTCGCATGGCAATCACACAGGCGCTGCGTAGGTTGGTCCCTTCATCCTCGAATGTGTGCGTGTTCTATTCCTTCTATGAAACTCATGCTTCTTCTGCTTTAGCTTACACGGGTTAAGTAGTGGAGGCCCTGTTTTCACTCGAAAACAAGCTGATGAGTGGAGTAAGTAGCTTCTCCCTAATCTTTGAGCCCTAGCTTGCTTACCCTTATTAGTTTATTATCAAGAGCAGATTGTCAAGCGCGTGACGATGTCTATCCAACGTATGGCTGGTACTCCAGGACATCAGCTGACCCGTCGTCCGTTTCAAGTAACCTGGTTTTCAAATCAACTTGCCCTGTAAATCTTTCATCCAATGAGTTTCCATGGCTCTAATTCAAATAATTCTATAGGTGCCTTCGCCTTTGGAATAACGATAGGTCCTTATATGGTGCTCTTGAATTGGCCAAAGCTATTATGATTCCTCTTGACATGGTCAATTCCATATGGCCTTGCCCTCGTAGGTGGCGTAACCCTGTTACCACTAGGCACCAGATTCACTCTTGTTCCGATCTCTAGAACATCAACACCAGTGCGATGACCTGAGGAAGCACCTGATTGAAGCCTGCACATCTGTGGGCATGGGTCTTCCTTCTCTCTCAAATCGGTCTCTTCCGCCTCTAATGAAGACTCATTAATAGATTTCTCCGATAACACCCTCTCTGTTATTCCTGGTTGTGCGATCTTTGCTATCAGTTATGCATTTCTTTACTCTGTTCTACTACGTACATGTATTGTTTTCGTTGCTCATCAGACTGTAGTTTCTAGTTTATATTAGTTTTTCATCGAGTCCAGAATATCTCCATGTAGCACCTCACGTTGAATATGCCGCTTCCTTATAATTCGCCCTTGCTTCCTTTGACTACCAGAACGACTTGGCCGTCTTTTTGGTACTTAACAGAGTGCTGACACTTAATCCGTCTTCATTGATCGTTGCGTGTTATGTAGGATCCTTAAATATCGGCCTTTGTAAGAATCACAGGCACCAATACAGTTGTTGACGGACCCTTTCTCCTTGTAGTCAAGAGCGCAAGCAATAACGGCTGAAATAGAAGACGTTGTCAGGGTCCCAAGGAGCGGACCCGGTTTTGCTTACCGGACGAGAATACTCTGCAGCCTTATGCATTCCTACAGTAGCCACCCGAACAGTATAATACAGCTCGGCTATGATATCACCGATCCTCAGATTCATTGATACTTCGGGTTTGAGGTTCTATGAGTTGGTATCTGCTGATACGGGTCAGAGGGTTTTCATAGTTCCAGTCACGTCAACATGGTCCTGAAAGTAGCCCAACTAGCACTATATCTTCATATCTGGACTCGATACAGATTATAAGATAGATATCGCCTATAAATTCTAAACACTGCTGGAATGTACTCCTGCGTGCGGGTGGATTTAAAGAGTCCAGTATCTACGAAGTGGATGTACCAGTTACGACTATTATTAACCATATTTAGAGTAGACATTGTGCTCCCGGTGCTATTGGCTGTGTGGCGTAATGGCAACGCGTCTGACTACGAGGAGTTAATCAGGAGATTGCAGGTTCGACCCCTGTCTCGGTCATATATTTTCGACATTTTGTTTTAATGATGAAATCGCTGGGTGGCGGGCGACGGGCGTGCTGCATCTAGAGCTGATGAGGGCAGGGTGTTTTTGTACACTTTGTAATTTTCCGTTTCAATGGATTCCTGCGTGCCTTATGTGGTCAATTGCAAGGTATCACCACAATCAAATGATATCAGGTGATTTCTTATTAGAGGCCATCACTTCCAGATTCCTCCGTGGGCGACATCTAGCTAAGACTGGTATTCTTCATCATTTAATAGTTTACCGGGGCTGACAGTCCCTCTATTAATCCCGTAGCATTGACATGCTCTCCAATATCTCCATAGTACGATTTCACAGCAGAGGTACCAGTGGCTACCTGCTACTCGGCTCTTGAAGGAAGGCTTCTCTCATTTTCGATTGTCGTTTCTTGCCTAGGGCCACTAGCATATGCATGAGCAAAATCTGTGCAATCTGTTTATCTATTTCTGACCATGATGTTACCGATAGAGGCTTCTTTTTTTGATCATTGGTGATATCTGCCAGTGCTGCGATAACCTATCCCCCTCCATTTCAACCTTCAAGTCGCAACGCCGGATGATGTCTTCTGTTCACCAGGAGAAGCGGTTCTTTTCGGACGTAGTCTGCTCAGAAGGAGATCGAGTCGACAGAGCTATTATCGAGCGATCGGGAGTCTTCGGTCCGTTCTTGTCAAAGCTGTTTGAGAATGGCGTCGAAGGGAGGGGAGTAGAACGAGTCCTCGAAGACGAACGGGATGGAACACATACTTGGAACATGTAAACGTCTCTCTACTAGCGTACTAGCTTATACTGATCTGGGCGATGAGTTTTTTCTTTTGGACGTAAGCTTAATCTTTTTCCAATTACACCGAGGGATCTTACGGTTAATGCATTATGCCTCCAGTTCTGCGAATCTTGTCCTTTCAAGCCTCTCCATAGGGATTCTTGCGCAAGATATATTTTCCCTCACATTTCCGTGAGTCTTGCCGTGGATCAGAGATTCCTGATGCAATTACTAACGCTATTGCAGACATGCGGTCGCGGCGATTATTGTTTTTGGCTTTGTGTCAGCGGTGCTGACCTCTCTCGTCGCAACTCTGGGGCCAAAAACGGGGCTTCGTACGATGATAATTGTGCGCTTCAGCTCCGGATACCTGGGCGGAATCATATATTCCATATTCAACGTTCTATCTCAGTGAGAATCCATTCATCATTACATCTCGTACTCTTCGCACTCATGTCCTCCGCGCTTAGACTGGGATACGCGGTTACGTGTATCATTATTGGGGGCCAAACCCTCGCGTCCGTCAATACGGGCTCTCTTCCTCTTATCGTCGGCGTTATCATTGTTTCTATTTGTAGTCTCATCCCGTGTTTCATTGGATATGATGTGGTTCACACTTACGAAAGATATGCGTGGGTTCCCCTCCTCGTGATAATGTTTTTCCTCTGGGGTTTGGGCGGCCATGCAGGTATCGATATTCAAGCACAGAAATCCGCCGAGGAGTCTCGACGGACTCTCACCGCAAATGTAATAAGCTTTGGTGGAGTTGTTTTCGGCAGTACTGCAGGTGTTAGTGTTATCTTCGAAACAAAGATACTTCTTTGGCTCATCTACTTCTAGTGGGCGACCCTTTCGGCTGATTATAACTGCCGACTTCCAGTGAACACACCTGCGACTAAAGTTTTTCTCCTCACCTTTTTCGGGATTTATGTTCCGACTTCTTTCGCCGAGATCCTTGGTGCGGCATTAATGACCATCACAAAGTCCGGGTATCCCGAATCCTTTGAAAGCGGCAGCCTGGGTGGTCTCCTCGGCCAGGTGCTGATGCCTTGGAAAGGCTTCGGAAAGTTTTTGCTTGTGATTCTAGCCTTGTCTGTCATGTAAGTCATCGGACTTCTCGCGTTGAATCTCGTCACTCAATTTCTATTAGCACTAATAACATACTAAACACTTACTCCGTTGGATTGTCTATCCAGGCACTTGGCCGTCCGTTTGCGAAAATTCCCCGCATATGTTGGACTGTTATTGGGTGGATTATATATACGGTAGCGGGAGTCACAGGCCGAGAGCATTTCGCCGTGATTCTCTCCAATTTTCTGGCCATTCTTGGATACTGGTCGTCATTCTTTATTATCGGAGTACTTGAAGAGCACTATATATTTAGAAGGAAAACCGCTACCCTTGGTGGATATAATCTAGACGACTGGGACACGCCCGGAAGGTCAGTTAGATATTGTCTATGCCTTGTGACCTCGCTGACCCATCTGCCTTGACAGATTGCCGGTTGGTATTGCTGGTATACTCGCGGGATGTTTTGGCGCTTTTGGTGCGATCATCGGGATGTCTGAAGTGAGATGCGTATAACTTCACCTCTCTCCATCAATTAATCCATCTTTAGGTTTGGTATACCGGTCCGATAGGGAGACTGACTGGCAACGCAGACGTGGGATGCGAGGTAATTTCCATGCCTACTGTTTGTTTGGAATATCACCTGTTTTAACAATGTTCGTCTATAGCTCGCGATCGCGTTTTCCGCTGTAACGTATCCGCCGTTAAGATGGCTCGAAATCCAGATGATGGGAAGATGATTGTGTGAGAATGATTTATGACGAGACCCTAGATTACCGACCCATGTTCATTATCCCATTTCATAATTGGTGTCGGACTACTGATAACAAATTAAACGAGACCTATGAGCGACGGTGAGAACAGAGCATACTTGCTCCGATGAGCAAAGGTTTCATATTCATCTGGTAACCATGCTATTTGGCCACAGTACCAAAGAAGCTGGATTTTATTTGGCTCAAAAATATCAGATGTGAGCTTTTACAGTACACAAAAGTAGTTATCAACATGAAGGAGCCAATACATGAGAAGAAGATACACGCAACGAACATTGATGTTCTGAAATATTTATGACTCCATTATTAGCTCCCATATTTGTCGTCCAATCCTTCTTCGCATAACTTCTTCCATCGCGTGGCTACCTGAGGGTCATTGAGGACGAGCGGAGTCAAGCTGCACCTTTTTGAGCAACGACTCATCGTCCTTCTGCCGTTTCCTGTGAGACGCAATCATGTCCACAAATAATGCCTGATCGACCGTGTAAGTAGACTGACGTAAGTCGAGCCTTGTCAAGCAAGGAAGAATATTCTGGCGATCACTTTCTCGAGCGAGTTTCGAAATCAACACTTTCCCTATGTATTTCGCATGTAGGTTCAAAGTACGGAGACTTTTGGCGGTAGATAGAAAGTCGATGAGGCGCTTGGTGGTTCTCGCCTGTGCAGCGAGATTACAGTATATCGTTAAATAATCGATCCGGATGCCAGGTGGTATAGTCGGGAATTCGACTGATCCGTCGTGGGTGTAGTTTACAAAGAGCTGACGAAGGATTGGTATTTTTATGTACTTGAAAAAGCGCGAAACGGATGAAAATGCGGCTGCGCTTTCTCCTGCCGCTATAAAATCAACATTGGGCAGGAGGACGGGCTCATCGGATTTTTGAAACGGAGGTATCTTTGCTTTGTGGAACCGAAATGAAAGGCTCCTGATGGACGCGTCGACACCTTGAACCTTTCCAAGATTTCTAGGCTCCGCCGACTGTGCGCCCCTCCGATAGATAGGCGGGTCAATTGCTTCCAAGGCAACTGAAGGTGAACTACAACCTGAGTGTTTACTTCCAGATTTGTGAGGGAAGAAGCTAAACGGAAAGTGTTGATAGGGGAGAAATGTTCGGTGCCAGCCGGAGCATCTTTGATGGTCAGAGTGGAGAGAGACCAGAAAACCAGTGTACACGGAAAGAGAATGTAATGTCTTGTGAGGTACATCGATACGCAATCGTTTCCATCGAGACATGCTCATGAGCAGCATCGGAAAGATCGGATGGCCGGACAAGTCGGTTTTACTGTCGACCCTAAGAGAAAGGCTACGTTTTGGCGCTCTTTGAAGACACAGACAGTGTTTAAAGGACAGAGATACTGCATGATTTGCTGGATAGGAAGAGATATCAAGGGATATCGAAGACCATAGGCGCGAAGTGGAGACAGCCACGCCTCCCCATTGGTCGGAAACTTGCGATATTGTCCACGGTGGCAATGTTGTCTTATTGGAATCATGGGGTGTGGGGGTTAAGTAGAAGTCATCCCACTCTTTGCCACAATGGACGAAGATTTCGCGTAAGATATCATCGGATAAAGTACGAATGGGATGCAACAGCGCTTTGGCACTCTTGAGATGTTCGGCGCATACGTCACGTTCGCGACCGAGACCATCGAGTATCTCTTGTACCTGAGTAATCCTCTGTTCAAGGTCTACCACCATACGAGAAGATTGAGTCACACCTTCGGCCAGTTCCAAGCGTTCCTCGTGCGATGGAGGAACATTTGATTTCAAGAGCTGTTTGGCCCGAGAAGAGAGTGGCTTCTGCGAGGATTCTAGACGCAAGAATATATGGCCGCAGGTAGCACACTCGCGAGTAGGCCGAAGATCGACGACTGCTGCCATATCTGTGACGTATCATGAGATATATTGGTCGTCATAAAGGTTCTATACATACGTAGACGATGATCGCTCTAGGTTTGAGAAGTTTTTCAGCGTGAAAGTATGAAGGCCACACCACTGTGTTGAATAGTCAGTTATTGGCGTCGGTTCCAAGTCGGCTCTCGACGTCTTCCTTACTGACAGAGAGATCTGTATTGAACCTTGCTACAGAGGAACTGAAGAGTAATGTAGTTTCGGAAACTTAACTTGACGATTCGTATGAAGATAAGTCGCTCAATGGATATGACAGTCGAATCAGGTTGAATCGGAGAAAAGAAACGTGACTTTGTCACTGACGCGTCTATGAAGTTGATACCAAACAACGACAAGCAGAGAGGCATATCTTTCCATATTTTTATCATGTCCGCTGAGCTCTTCTCGCGCGTAGCCCATGTTTAGACGCGCCCGGAAATGGTGCGCCCGTATCCGAATGCTGCCCATTGCAGTTATTTTCT